GATAATTCATACTTTTGCCTCGTTTCATACATTTCTGCGCAAAAAGTCAAACTTTACGAAATTTTTAAATTTTTCGAGACTATGTTTGTATATTTTTTTGAATCGTTTACGACTTTTTATAGCTAAAAATTGGTTTTTAAATACGATAAAAATGGTTTATATTCCGTTAAAGTGCCGTTAACGGGATTACTGCAAAAAATTTACCCACCCCCCGCCGCTAACAGTCCAGTACCGACTTTTCTTGGGGCAGGCTAGCAGAGAGAGAGAGAGAGAGAGAGAGAGAGAGAGAGAGAGAGAAAGAGTTAGAGCAGAGATTCCTTTTTCCAGCGATTTCGCGATCCGCTCCCTCCGTGCAGCGTCGATCGGTGTGCTGCTGATCGGGCCGGAGGATGAGGACGTCGAGCTCGAGCAGGTCAACCATCAACGCCACCCACTACCAGCCAGCGGACCTCCCGGATTTTCGGTACGTCCTAATGGCAAGTGTAGATGAACATTGGGGTCTTGTATATTATCGGCTGGAGGCGAAGCGGAATCTAACTTTTTCCTATAAATCGAGAAATGACTTGTAATGTACTAGTAAGTAACTTCATAGCGTTTTATGTAAAATTGGGCTGTTTTTAAGGAAAATATCTAAAACCTAAGAATTTTCAGGCCGAACCCCGGTATTTTTGTATTTTTTTTGAAAAGGTAGTATATTTCAAGTGGCATCAACAAAATTTCTCTCAAAAAACCTTCAAAAAGGGATCTTTGGTTAACATTTTAGTTGAAAATCGGCGATTTTTGCGCGAAAAATCGCTCGTTTTCCAACTCAACTACAACAAAGATTGTCGATTCGGGACTCTTTCAAACTAGGAAATATCGTGAAACATCTTATGTTAGCCAAGAAATTGATGCGATTTACGTCAAGTTGGTGTTACAGCGCATCCAGTCGCCATTCGGGAACCCGTTCATGCAAATGCCGATGGCCGACGGAGGAGAATATCATGGAAATGACGACGCGGCGGCCATCGAGGAACACGGCACGTCGGGTATCTCTCTCTCTCTCTCTCTCTCTCTCTCTCTCAGTCTCTCTCACGCGCTCTCTCTCACTCTCTCGTCTCTCACTCGCTCGCTTTCCCTCACTCTCTCGGACTCTCTCTCTCTCTCTCTCTCTCTCTCTCTCTCTCTCTCAGTCTCTCTCACGCGCTCTCTCTCACTCTCTCGTCTCTCACTCGCTCGCTTTCCCTCACTCTCTCGGACTCTATCTCTTTCGCTCTCCCTCTCTCCCTCACTCTCTCTTTTCCTCACTCTCTCTCACTCTCCCACTCTCTCTCACGCTCTCTCTCACGCTCTCTCTCTCTGTCTCTCTCTCTCTCTCTTTCTTTCTTTTTCTCTCTCTCTCTCACTCCTCTCAGCCTCCCCTTTTATTGTCATTTCCACCAATTTCAGCCGAGGTGCTGCGCGCGGTGTCGGCCTGGTTGGACGCGAACGACACGATTGGTGCCGAGGTGAGAGGATTGTGGCAAGCTAGCAGAGATCGTTTGGGATTTCGTGAGGGCAGGCTAGCAGAGATCTTTTGATTTTTCAATTTCCCGTGTATTTTACGTGTTTCAGATAGAGGACATGACGCCATTCCCGGAAGTCGAAAACCCGATCCATGCCCTGCTGGCGCGCCCCCTGGTGGAGTGTACGTTTTGATACGGTTTACGATCTGTTTAAACCTAATGGATACTATTGAATAATTTGCTAGTCGCAATAAAAACAGATTTTCCAGACCCGATCCCGTACCTGTCGGGCCTGTGATCTCGGCCCACCGCCCTGGTTGAACTGCTCGATCCCGACGCCTTGGCCCCGCCCACTTACGTCTCTGCTCATCACCTGCCTCCCCCTTCCAAGAGAAGCTCCAAATAAACCGATCGTTCAATAAATCCCTGGAATATTTTATGGTGCTTTCCCCCGGATGATATTTGTTGGTTGTCCTCTGTCTTACCGTATACCGTGAATAAATGTTAAGAAATTAAAATTGAGCGAGGCAGGGATGAGAGAGAGAGAGAGAGAGAGAGAGCGAGTGAGCTAGATAGATACATAGGGAGAGAGAAAGTGAACGAGAGAGAGAGTGAACGAAAGAGATAGATGGAGCAAGAGAGAGCTTGTGAGAGAGAGATAAAGAGATAGTGAGAGAGACAGAGTGATGGGAAGCGAGACCGGGAGAGAGAGAGAGAGAGAGAGAGAAAGAGAGTGAGAGAGATTCTTTGCTCGCCAGAGACGTTTCGGAGTGGATTTCCGTATATGGATGCGTTATTACGAAGTTACCTCTCAAGTTTTCGCCGCAGGCTAAGGAGGCAAGCTAGGAGCTGCAACTAGCGCCGCAGGCTTATGAAGGAAAAATTTCTCCAAATTTCACGCGGCAAGCTTTAGAACGAAGTCAGCCGGGCTAGCTATAGCTGGCACCGCAGGCTTCAGGATGAAGCTAATCGCTGAAATTAGCGCCGCAGGCCAAAGAATAGAGCCGACCTCTCAAAATTTTCACCTACAAAAATCTACAAACAACACCTACAAAAAAATTTCTTTATTTTCGATTTTGTCGATGGGAAATGAACGCGACGATCAATTTCGAGGGTGCGGCAAAGTTCCTGGACTTAATGTTTTCGGACATAATTCGGCATGGAGGGGTCGTGCGCCCGTCAAATTTAACGCTTTTGTAGACGACCTGATGGGCAATCAGAATTCGTAAGCACTTTCACGCGACGTCGGCGACGTAGTCGACGCTATTTTTTAGAACGCAGCCCTAGAAGTGAAGGTTTTGCTGCGCGGCGCGCAGGTTGTGGGCGCGGTTTAAGCCGTGATCGTTTTAACGGAGCCTCGGATCCAAGCCAATTTTTCTCGGTAAATAGCTTACAGTAAACCTCCCGAATCCCCCTAAACCCCCTAACCAGGGGGTTGGTAGGGAGTTGTAGGGGTTCGGAGGGGTTTAGGGGGGTTTCGGGGGTTCGGGAGGTCTAGCTTACCGCATGTTGTTCCTGATCGGCAACTCAGAATTGAAAGGTTCTAGTCATTTTTAGATTTCGTAAATCGTCAGGGTGCAGAATTTGAGATTCCATGGTTTTTGGTCGGAAATGGAAATATGGTGGCTTCTGAAAGTTCTTTTTAAAGGAACATTCACCTGCCAATTTTATAAAATCGTTCCACGCTATAGCAGGCGGGGTCTGTTTCCTAACGCGTGGATCAGGCGCCTGGGGGCGAAGAGGGTCTGTCCTCTCCCGATTCGGTCTGTTGGCACATTGGTTTTGTGTGTGCCTGCCGCGCGCAAGGTCAGGGTTCGACCCCCGGTTGTGGCATGGCTTTTTGCTTTTTCATTAAAAGCTGGGAGTTGAATGTTTCTTTGCAAGGGGCTCAGAAATCTGGTCCACGTTGCCCAGCGTTGATTCCTGGAAAACAGCCAGAACCTCGAACGCACAAATTTTGGCTTCCGAGCCCCTTTAAAGCCCAAGATTTTGGCGGCAAATATATAGTTGTGTATTCCGGGCAGTACAAATAACGTGCGAGTTTTGTGCGGCAATGGCGGCCCATTGCCGCACAGAATTCGGCCACCATTCCCCTCCATCTAGATTTTTTTGGAATAGGGTCCGGTTCTTGCTTGAGCGGCCGAATCAGGTTATCTAGTGACTGACGAAACATACTACGGACAATTTACTCAAGGATAGGTTGAATAAAAACAGTGGCACGTTTCATTCCGGCCTGTTTGAGGCCCGCAAGAAATTGTCGAGCGGGGCTGTTTGCAAGAGGTCGGAAACTTCGGTTACTTTCTTGGCGTTCTTACAAAATCCTTGGGCTCCTTCTCCGAGTTTTTTCAGCGGTATTGTCTTCAAAACAATTCACAAGTAGGAAAAAATTTCCCTACGTGCCAAGAAATTGGAAATATCTAAAGAAAAACCACCTTAAAAAGTGTGGGGTATTTTTGGGACACCCTGTACTAGTGCTCCCTTTTGCTGAAATTCCGTGAACAAGCGGAAAAGTTCTTACGAATTCCGATTCCCCATCAGGTTTCCTTTCAACAAAATGACGAAACTTGACCGTGGACGGCCGCTCTACGTCGTATTATGGCGGTAGAAATATTTAGTCCAGGAACTGTTGCAGAAGCATAACTGGATGACTTTTGTTTTTTGCTATTTATCGGCTTTGCAGAGCCTGTTCAGGCGGCAACTTTTGATTCACAGAGAAACGGTGCTTTTGTGCAAAATTCAGATTTTTTCAAAAATCAGAAGTTTGATATGATCCAGGCTGACACTCACGTGAAGGTCGAATGGAAACTGTTCGGAAGTTGTTTACTTTCGGAACATAAGTTACTCTCTCAGTCCATTTCGCAGAGACGAACAATCCGGGAGGTGCGTGGCGCAACCTGACCATTTTAATCCCCCGCCCCCACTGTATTTCTCTCGAGGGCTTCTCCTCTAACTGTGCCAAAAGGAATATTGGGGTGCTGATAGAGAAGTGCCAAATACAAAAATCGCGAGCGAGAGCAAGAGCGAGAGCGAGAGAGAGAGAGAGAGAGAGAGAGAGAGAGAGAGAGAGGGAACGAGTGGTGTGTGAGGGAAAAAAGATAATGCGAGAGATACAGAGAGTGCGAGAGACAGAGTGATAGGAGAGAGCGAGCGAAAAGCGAGGAGGGTGAGAGAGCGAGGGGATAGAGAGAAAGTGAGTACAGAGAGATGGAAAGGAAAAGAGAATGGCAGAGATATAAAGTGAGGGTGAGAGAGTACAGAGTGGGAGAGAGAGAGATTCCCTTTTCTGTTGCCAGATTCCGGCTGGGACAGGGATGTTGCACTGCACCATTTATTCAAACCGTATTCAAGAAAATAAGGATACATATAGAGGAACCGTTGTGGAAAGCACAATGGATACGGGGATTTCAATGAACGACGTCCCCGCTTAGGGGTGTAAAACTTAAAATACCATTTTGAATTTCGATTTCGCCCAAAATGGATGTGTTGATTTCTTCTCGGAAAAATCGAGATGAGTTCTCGGGGTGCTCGGAACAGCGTCAAGCATCATAGTTTTGACAAAAACCTAGTTCTGAATTTCCAGAAACGCCGTTCGGGAATACATGCGATGCAACAAAAATATTTCGATGAACGAGCGCACAACACAAAGACTCAACGGCGCTTCTTCTCTGTCTTCAACATTGCCCTGAATCTTTCTTTCGTTTCCTTTTGGGCTCTTTCTCCGCTCGTGTGCTGGCCTTGTACCCATCAGCTTTTTCATCTGGGCCGGGCTGGATAACATATCTGGGCCATCTGGCATCTACTGGCTGCGAAAGAACCAAAGTTGTGGTGGTCAGAATACACCACCGGGCATACCAGGGTTCGGTGTGGGCTGGGGAGACCCGCAAAAACCCTGTAAATCAAAGGACTCTTTCAAGGGCCTCATCCTGAAAATTCTCGGCATTTGGCCGTCTTCCATCTGATCGAGACCAAATTTTTACCAGCGATGCGGACCACAGCATAAAACCAGGGGGCAGCCAGATTGGGGAAGCAAATATTGTAAACAACAAAAAAAAGTTATCGCTAAGAAACTGCTTGTTGGGAAGCGCTGAAGCGGGCGTGGGGCGATAATCCCGCGGGAGGCTTGTCGATTTTGAGTAATTCTCGGAACAATTTGGATTTTCCGTCGTCCCCTGGCAGTTTCAATAATAAAAGTCAAAAAGACTTAATTTTGACTGTACTGAAAGCAAATCGCCACACACACCCTGGCGGAAAAAGTCCCTTCGTCGTTTTTGCTAAAAATTTCGAGTGCCAATCTGCCATAGTTTTTATAGGTCCCTATCAGCTGGTAAAATCGTTTCTGATCGGATGGGCGGTGGCTAAATGCCGAGGCGTTTTTTTGGGAGTCACTGTATTTTTAATTAGGTGGGCACCAGCACCCAAATATCAGCAATATTCTCCCAAAAAGGCCCCTCTAGCGGTCCGCCCTGATGTCCCGTTTTTCCGTTTTGTGTATCTATCGGCATTTCACGACGAGTATTGAGGTGATATTTTCCTCCGACGGTAAAATTGGCGCATTTTAACCCTACTTTTATCGTTTTTTGGGCATAAATAACGTTTTTTTCCGTCATACATCTCGATCGGTCCCGAATTTGGAACAGAATAAGCCTAACAACTACAATCTTGAGTTATAGTCCCGATTGCTGCAGTAGCTTTCGAGTTGGGTGGTCAAAATACTAGTTTTTACGCGTTTGTTAACGTTTTTTTCGGCTATCTTTGGGGACTTTACAAAAATTCGTTGAACCAACGACATTATTCGATTAATTTTTATTAAGAAAATTTTTTAGGGGTAGAGAACGCTTGTTTTAATCATTTTCACTTAATATCTGAATGGTCGATTCCGACGAAAAAAGGAAAACCTTATGAAAACGGATAACAAAGTATATATTTTGTTGTATCTCGAAAACTACCATAGTAGGGAGGCTCCAAGTCAGGATTGTGTCTCTTTAGGTTCAAGATGGGTCTCTGGTCCAATTTTCGGACAGACGGGATGGGCCAGGGGAGGGGTGTTTTTGTGGCTACTCTGTGTGGTAGTATACAATATGAAAAATACGGTAAGAGTTTATTTTCTGTCCCTACAAAGTCGAAGGGTCTCAAAGTTTCCAGGTTTTTGGTGCAATGCTATTTGAGCAGTGTGTGTGTGTGTGTGTGTGTGTGTGTGTGTGGTGTGTGTGTGTGTGTGTGTGTGTGTGTGTGTGTGTGTGTGTGTGTGTGTGTGTGTGTGTGTGTGTGTGTGTGTGTGTGTGTGTGTGTGTGTGTGTGTGTGTGTGTGTGTGTGTGTGTGTGTGTGTGTGTGTGTGTGTGTGTGTGTGTGTGTGTGTGTGTGTGTGTGTGTGTGTGTGTGTGTGTGTGTGTGTGTGTGTGTGTGTGCATGTGTGTGTGT